TGCAAAACTATCATTGAACTCATTTACTATGTCAATGTCGTTTTCAATTATAAGACCCTTTTACATTCATGTGATCTGTTAAGCAGAAGTACATTCCTGTGATCTGTTACGCAGAAGTACATTCATGTGATCTGTTACGCAGAAGTACATTCATGTGATCTGTTACGCAGAAGTACATTCATGTGATCTGTTACGCAGAAGTACATTCATGTGATCCATTACAGTGGCACATTCATGTGATTCATTACACAGAAGCAAATTCAAGTGATACAGAAGAACATTTGTGTTTTCCAGTATATGGAAGCACATTCACGTGATCCATTACATCAATGCACATTCACACGATTCAATACACAGACGCACATTCATGTGATACAGGCATGTTCACGTAATCCATTATACAGTTGTAGATTTATGTGATCCATTACAAAGAAGCACATTCACATGATCCATAATACAGAGGAACATTAAAGTCTTAATGATCCAGTGTGAGGTTTTTCCAGTGGCTGGAGTGCCAATCGTGCCACCAACCCCCAAGTTACTCCCTGTAAGTTGGAGGACCTGCTTATAGGGCTGGATGTAGATTAACATCATACCCAGGATGAAGCAACTGCAGGTTAAGGGCCCTGCTCAAGGACCCAACGGAGTAGGATCACTGCTGGCATTCACAGGATTCAAACCATCAACTAGGCGATTGCTAGGATGGTTCCCTAGCCTCAGAGCCACCACTCTGCCCCAAGACCCTTAATAAATTAACATTTTATTTCAAAACAGCTTAATATCCCTAATGTGATGACTTCCAATGGAGTGACAAGTGAATTTTAGTCAGGTATCAGATTATATAAAACACAGGCCTCATAAGCTCTTACCCCACAGCAGATATCAGCCCTAGCGATATGTGACCCCTTGGGGAAATTAGCTTCATGTGAAATTCACTCTGCTATGATGCTATTATTTATATTTGTGTTTCTTATCTTTATTTTTCACTGTAGCTCTTTTATATATGCCACCACAGTTCAGTCCTCACCGCCAGGTCAACACACATATACAGTAGGGGAGGCCATACCAACAGGCTGACCTCCCCCCCGGGACATACCAATAAAGTACGGGGGTGACATGAAGACCCTGCACTTCAAAGGCAATAATAAAATGAACTGTTCTCATCATTTACTGTTCCCTTCACACAGTAAGGCTCCAGCCCTGTGACCCACTGTGCCTTAGGAGTGTCTCCCTCCATTTCTGGAAGCCCGTTTCTGTAACTGGGTATTTTGGGCTTAGCAGTGTTATAGTAGTGCCGATCCTGGCACTCGAACCTGAAACCTCCTGTCCATTGCCAGCCTCATTAGGTTCCTGGCCCATTCACTTCATTAGCATTAGTACCTTCTGCTAAAACATCTTGCTTTTAATTTACTTTTACAATAGTTATCCAGTTCTTTGTTGCATGCTGGTTCCATTAAATAGTAGCAGAATGAGCTGTTCTCGGGGTTCTGCTTTGGATACCTTTCAGTCATCTTTCAGTAGCTGGAGGACGGACACTGCCAGTTCTCCACACTCACAGCAGGGGGTGGCAACCGACACTGACCTCACTGGTACAAAGTATCGTGACTGTGACAGGGGCACCCGGCCAATCCAGTGCCATTCGCACGCGGGACACTGCAGTCATAGGTTGAGTTCACAGATGGGGAACCGCCCCCACACCGGTTATCAGGAACAGCAGCAGTCTGTGATGAAGCAGGCTTTAATATCATAAACAAACAGTGGTTCACCCATGATGGATACCAACATTTAATCACTGTCTGTGAAGTCCTGTGAGAGCACACTCAGTGCTAGGGCCAGGGCTTGAGGCCATTGCTTAGTCAGCCTCACACTTCCAGGATTGTGCTGCTGAAGTTCTCTCATGTGGAGTTAGTTTGCTCCACCAGCGTTCCCATTGGTTCCTTCTGGGTAGTCTGGGTTCTTCCCATGGTCCAAAGACATGCTGTTTATGTGAATTGGTGTCTGTACAATTTCTTTTAGCGTGTGGACCTGTGTCCTGTGATGGACTGACACCCTGTCCACCCTGTCACCTGTGGGTCTGTGTCCTGTGATGGACTGACACCCTGTCCACCCTGTCACCTGTGGGTCTGTGTCCTGTGATGGACTGACACCCTGTCCACCCTGTCACCTGTGGGT